ATTATAACATTATGGTGGTATAGCTAGGTTACAATCTACATTATTTATATTATAAATGGGAATGTAAATTTTAGAGATCAAATTTTCGTCTGTTAAAATAATATGAAATGTATAATGTCAGAGCTAAACTGACGGCTATAATATATACTCTAGTAATAATTAATTAAGTAATAATGCAACTTCAAACACTGTACAAAATATTGTACGAAACCGAGTTTGTTGTGACGAGAGGGCGTCGCCTACCAGAGAATGGAAAAAGATTAAAGGAAACATACAGAGTGATTATTTAATAGTTAACAACTATTTCATCTCGAAAAAACCTTAACATTTTTGTTAACATAATTTTAATTTATTACAAATAAAAAAGATATTTTCACTATTTTTTATCTTTACAAGTGTACTTTTTGAATGACTGCATAATATTATAAATTTTTTATTCTAAAATATTTTTTTGACAACTTCGTTGTATACAAATCGTGTTTTTAATGTATGGTTAATTATACATAACTGCTCTTTCTCGGCACATATTATTATTGCGCAAGCAACGATAATATTATGTTAGACGATTTTATTATGACACTTGTACGCCATTATATTGTACGTCGTACGACACACAGACACAGGAATGTGCATTATTTTAATTAAATTATAGTGGATTAATAGTAAAAAATTCATCTTTATAGTGGTACCTATCTACTATAGGATTATTACCTACCTAAATTAGTAAAATATAAATAAACTATTTCAAATTACGGCTGTAGAAAGTATTTAATATATTCGTATCTGAGATACTCGAGAGTCAAAACCAATAATTGATTTTGTATTTTAAAAACGAAAGTATTTTCCTTTGAGTGTTTGAGTCAATACCGTTGGTATATTAATACCTACAAGGTCACACAGGGCATAGGTTTCAGGTACACGTTACTCTCGGTTCAGTGGCGTACTGGCGTACCCAAAGGTGGAGGAGATACAAGTCTGGAATTCTAATTAATCAATACTTATAAACATCTTCAATTAAACACCGTTGTTACCTACTAACTAAATATTACATTTTGCACCATGTATTATTATATGAACTTAATAATTGAAGAACAAAATATGCTGTAACGGCAATATTGAAATGTGTAATCTTTATATGCAACTTATACGTACTTTGTACCTATCTATACTAATTAGTAATTATAATTCTGGATACAAGTGTAACTATACACATATAGTATAAATAGTATTAATAAAAAATATTAGCATGCACAATGCTCGTATTTAAAATGCTGCTTGTCTCATTGAAAATGTATCTACACGTTATTTAGGTAACAACTTTGATTTCAGATAATATTAATATTATTATTAAACTATATTTATTAAAATATGTATGTTCATGATTCATACTATTGTTATTTTAGATTCTTAATGGAGCTATATTTATTGTATTGATTGTGTAATTATATGTGTTTTTGTTTGTATTTGGTGCCAACACTACCAACTAACTTGACTTCTTTTGAACTATTTTCAGCCATAAGACATTTTGGATTGTCTATGAATCATTTTTCACTTGATCAAAAGTATTAAAATGTAATGCATGGTTCTTCATAAGTTGTTATTAGTGTAATTGAAAAAAAAGTTGAATGTAAATCCACAATAATTGTTGATGAGCGTCTTAAGTTAAAATTTTGACGAAATTCACCAAAATCGTGAACATTTTCAAATTACTTTATACCCAGTTGGAAATTAATAAAAAATTTCTTTTCATGTCTAATAGTATTTGAAAATATAATCAGGATTCCTCACACGTTTTTCTACCTGTAATAAAAGTTCAGCGGAAGCCACATTCACTTTTTTTAAGAGTTTTAAGTTTTTACAACATTGGATAGACATTATAAAGATTTCTCATCGAATGAGTTTCTTATTTGGTTGTAATTCAAAAACCTTCCAACGTTTCCTCCAAATGTTTATTTTATAATTTTTTATATGTATATTATATAATTATATATTCAAAATATTTTGACTCTTTTTGAGATATTTATAAAAATTTAAAATTTGAAATTTTTTCTATAAATATCAATAAAAAATTGTCTTTAATTATTTATATATGAGATGTATTGCCGTGATAATATTCGTCTAAAATAAATTCAACCTATCATATTATTAATAGTAAAATAAATTACTTTAACAGTATTATAAATAAGTAGGAGTGTAGGACGTAGGTATATTATAAAACATACTTATTACTTATACATATAATAAGATAAACTGCAGTCTGACCGTCTTCGTAAAGAATCATTTTCTGTAGGTAAACAATGATTAATCGTTGAATTCAAACTTAACACATAGGTACATTACGGTGACTCGATGATGAAGTGACAGTGTGACACATACTGTATAACAGGTCAGTTACCCACTATTTCTCGTTTTAGTTTTACCCATATCTTAATAATATAATTAATCATTTAATTTCCAAGCTACATTTTTTACTAATGTTTAAGTTCGGTCACCGGTGTTGATAGTTTGATACCTATACAACAATTAGCATTGGTTCCCAATCAGCATTATGCCATGGATCGTCAGCTAAAACATAAACTGGATCGGGGACCCCGTTTTTTTATATGCTTATATAATAAACTATGTACAATATACCTAGTTGTTATAATATATAATTTGCATGAAATGAATGGCACATATAATAGTAATATGTGTTTATGGAATTTCCCTGGTTTCTGTGAAATGTTTACGTTTCAATTTGTTTGAATATGAGAATTAAAAAAAAATTCTAAAATCGTGTACCTACTTGTGTGTCATGAACGAGTGCCCGTTTAATCATGCAGTTAAGCACAACTTCCTAACATTAACCCGCAGACCACCTATTGAGAACCACTACTCAATAGAGAATAACAATAATATTATAAATTTATAATACAGACTAAAATTGTGTTTGAACTTTGTAAGCACAGCCAAATAAAAAACCCATGTTTGTGCCATAGAGTAAAAATTGTTATGTTAACAATTATTATTATTTGATGTATCCATTAACCTACTAACCCAAACATTTTAAAAAGCAACCATGACTTTTTTTTAAGAATTAGGTACTAAATGAATGAAAAAAATTAAATTTCGGTGGGCTAATTTTTATAAAGTCCTTTTGAGATAGACAACTCTATGTAAATTGTGTACATTTGTGAGGTTTAAAATGGTTTTTTTTGTGGCATAGCACCCCAGTACGGAAGACATTTTTAATAAAAAGGTGCCAGATAATGATTTAAGCCAAAATCCTAAAATGCACTTCTGGAAAAAAAGTGTTTTATTCTTTAAAACTGATGTCTACATTTTAATGAGCAAATGAAATAAAAAATTAAAAAATGAATGTACCATAGTTGTTAAAGCATTGTAAAAACAATGAAACTTCTATTGACTTTCCCGAATATTATCTGTAACTTGTGACTGTCTTCGAGTGTGTTGTAATGTAATAGCATATAATAAATAATAGTATTATGTCACATGTGTACACTGCATGCCTCACCAGGTCCACACAGTGTAAACTATAGTAACTAAACAAAAACAGAAAAATAACAAAGTTTTAATGTTTTTAAAATCCATTTAACCTGACCCACTGGCCAACTGCACGCTGCAGTGATGGGAAAGTTGAGTTTTCGTTTTGTTTTTGCATACCGTCGTGTGTAGTGGACGAACTCTGTATATATGTAATATGTAGTATGTATTAGTATTTAGTATGTATTATACAAGTGCTACAAGTCAACACTACAAATATCATTAGGTAATTATTTTTAAAAACGCAAACGCCGTTTGGTTTTAATTATGACGTCAATGTGTTGATATTATGTTTTTTCGGCACAGCCAAGGGTGAATATAATTATGTTATTATAATGTATAATACTATTATCCATAAGTAATTTGTGAAAACCGCTAAGGGGAGCTTAGTCCCCCTCACAAACGTTTTTCTAGCTCCCATAAAAATAATAGGAGGGATAGTTTCAATATTTTAGATTTACGTATTTTGTCCATAGAAAATAGTAGTAAGATAAGTAAGTAGATTTATAATACAAATAATATGACTGAATATTTAATTACCTAGTTAAATAACTATTTTGACTGAGACGAAAATTCTCCATTTTCCACGAACAGCTAATGAGAATACGTATTACAATTTACGACCTCTCGCTTTAGCATACATTAATACGTAATAATGTCTAAAAGACTAAAAATAAATAAAATAAATACGTAGAAAGTTCCAGCGCTAATCACCGTAGTGGTTGCGGATCTGACTACCTGTCGCGGTGTGTTTAAATGTATGGGGTTCTCGCTATCCAATGAATAAATTGTTTTTACCGAAACATAAATGCCTATGAAGTTTCAAATACAAAATAAAATCAAAATTCTTGTGATTTTTAAAAAGTTTCAAAAAATTGATCGATATAAAAAAAAGAAAAAAGATACAATAAAGCATTTTTTTTATATCTTTTAATAATCATGCAGTAAAGTTATAGTTATACCCCCCCCCCCCCCCAATAAATAATATATGCGTGGTACCTAAATAATATTATACTACATCATTACCTATGTAATATTATAATGATGTTATATTTTGTGTTGAGAGCGCTCGCGGTCCGTACAGCGCAGTACGCGCAACCGAAACGGCGGAGGGTGCTGTGCGCTCGAATATACCGAGAATCAACAAATATAATATTATTTCCAGATAAGTCCGCCCGCCACCGCCGCCGTGGCCGGCGACGAGTAGGTACGGTGAACAAATACGGCGTATTGATTATATTATTTCGCGAACTCGTCGCGTCGTCGCCGCGCGTTCTCCTGCGAGATCGCGAGCGTCCCTCCCGCCCGCCCGCCCGGCAAGGCCCACGCGCCCGTCCCCGCGGTACACCGCCTCCGCGGGCGGTTACGCGGGAAATGAGAGGAAAAAAGAGGCGGGAGAGCCGGTGGCAACGGCGGCAGGGACAGAGCACCAGCGTCGTAGTGTTGCCCAGAACACCGACGGACCCGAAGCTCGAGCGTTCACTCTCGACCACGTCCTCTTACAGATTATCTCTCCCATCCCTGAGCTCTGCATTGGGCACCACCGACAATAAAACATAATACATCATAAATATTAATTACCTAAAATTAACTATAATATATGTACACTGTTATTGTAATTAATTAATATTATCATATAATATTGTATTGTATTCGATTTTGGGCAATAACGGTGAAACTGACAAAACCGATCCCGCCATGGACATGAATCAAATTTTGAAAGACCTTCCCAAGGTACGTACTACATACCTGCAGTATACTCGAAAATGACGCGACGCCGACGGATGTATTATTAAGCTATAATATTATAATAACTGTTGCGCGTATTGTATAATAATATAATTGGTATGTATTATCATGATTATATGGGTAGGTACCACCTACCTGTTACCTAGAATGCCTCTACGGTAATACTATTACATAATGCGAGTGCATCTCGTGTTTTGCGCTCGAAATACGACACAATTTGACAGTTTACTCACAGCTGGTAAAGATCGATGATAGTACCTATTGATAAATTAATATATTGTTGTGTATATTATGTAGTAAATGTTTTTAATAATTTGATTAGGTGTAGGCAAATGTGTATGTTATAAGTACCTGATTATTGTTAAATAATCTGGTCGGCGGGACTAGACAGTGCAACGTGACTAGTGCCGTGTTGATGTACTATTATACTCTAAAAATGTATATTTTATTGTTTTTTATGTTTATTGAAATTTGAAATTTATATAATTATATAGATATGCTATTTATGCAATTGCGAATTGCAATGAGCAATATACGCAGTGTATATTGTATACATACATTATAAAATAGTAAAGTGGTTGAAATAAATAATACTAATCGACCACTTAAAATATGAATCAAATCAAGGCCGTTTTTCGTTACTTCCTATATAGTAGAAACGTTTTATTAAATTACAACAAAGACGTAAAAAAAATCATTGACAAAAGATAACAAACTCAATCAAATTCAATAGTTCATTATTTATGGTTGTGTGTAATTAATTATTATTATATTTTATATTGCACTAGAACGTTTTATTTTATGGCGTTAAAAAATGTTAGTTCAAATATAAACGAATAATATCAATAATACGATGTATGTGTAACCAATTATACAGCAATTAATATTTCAATTTAAAAGTTACTTCTCATTTATTCACCAATGTAGGTAAGCAATAAGAATATCCTTATAGTAGCTAACTTATTAATATAATATTAAAATTATATAATTTTTCAAAAGTGACCCTCTTTAAATGTTTATATAATCATTATTGTTTTAGTTTTTTTTTACATTTTTAAAGATATAGGTAGTCCACTAATTCAAATTTTAAGTTGTTGCTTAATATTTTCACTATACGGGAGGCTTGATGTAGGACGCTTATATCAAGTAAGTAAATACTTAATTTTATAATTCATGTTAGCAGTTTTGAAAATAAAATTAATTATAATCACAAAAATTATTAATAAATTATTTAAAACTTTGTTATTCTGATAAATGGTATAGGAATAGGTACAAATCGTATACGGTAAACGGTATGACTTATACAAACACGGTTACATACACACATGGAGTAGTTTATAGTATATGAGCTGAGGACTGCAATAACTGCAAATAATTGTGAATTTTTATCTTTTCCATATAAAATGTGTTATTATACCTGCTTAGATATAAAATATAATAATTTGTGTTTGTATTTCGATGTGCCTATTTGTGGGGAACTCCCGCGTCATTTTTATCAATATTGTATGAGATTTTAGTCATTCCCAGAGAAATGTATTCAAATATTTGTGCTATTAATTTTAAAGTATTCTGATGTGTTATCTCGTAGTTCGTACATGTCACATTGCCACTTGAATACCACGATGCAAGTTATAACTTAAAGGTCTACAGAAAGGGGCATCAATATCATTCTTGATCATAAAATATTTTTGGTATAAATACCTAACTTATTGTTGGTCGACCGCTATGACTTCTACATTCTGTACTTGATATAATTATTTTATTGTTTACATTCCCATATAATATGATCATTGATGAATAGGTATCTAATATTATTTCATATAAACGGTGTACCTAGTACCTACCTATACCTACACAGTATACACTTTACACATTGATTTTGGCTGGTTTAACTAATTTCTTAAATTATCATCTGTTGGTACATCGTATAATTATAATATATATACTATATGGTACACAATGGTATTTACTATTTTTACTTTAGTAATCCTAATTGTCCTAAGGCGATATCAACCATATTTACTTGACTTCCAATAAGATTATCTTTCTCCACACATCCCGAACTCTAGCTGTATTTCTCCAATTAGGTATACCCATATACTGGAGATCTTTATTTACGTCATCTTACCCTACTTGGGTGTCCCCGTCTTATGGTTTCTTCTATCTTGGCTTCTCGTTTACTTACATTTTACGCTTGGCTTAATCTTTTCTATTAGATAATCATCCTATTAGACATGTATAATATATATTGATAACTGTAAACTCTTTTAAATTGATATTTTATATTTACTATTAATTAATGTAACATTGATATAATATGGAACTCACATCTCCGTTACAGACTTGTGGCTTTGGAGATCATCCAAAATCCAACTATACCATTATAATTTCATTTATATTTTTATTGTCTCATAACTTTGTTGGAAAAATGCACATTATTATTAAAAACTTAATCAAAATTCAAAATTGCTGAGTATATGCTGTCTTGTATAGTTTCCATTTAATATTTGTTTACTCAAAAAGTTAAAAGACACTTTTAATTTTCTGTTTATTGAAGTATCTATTATGTGACAACGAGCAGATAGTTGGCTATTTTTAATCAAATGTAGCCAAATAGGTACAAATCAGTCAGTGAATACAACATAAAGGTTTAGTTTTTATTTTGTATTATAAATATTTATGTTACCTATAGGCCACGTAAACTTGTTTGACTTTAAATAATATAGGTGCAATATTCAAACTGTTAAATTTTTGGGGTAACTAGGTATAATCTAACCTAATCTAATAGTATTCATAGATTTTATAATATGGTACCTATATGTGTTAATTAGCAGATAAATATAATCAATGTCCAAAGGGTACCTTAAAAAAAATATTTGCAGAACATATACGAAATTATAAACATAACTATTGAATATTTTTTAAATATAGATTAATTATCTATGTTGAATGTTGATTCCCAAAAATTACACAATTTAAATGATCAGTGTGTACTTACTGTACCAACGTCTTTACCTATATTCTTCACACTGTCGTGAATAAGAAGCAATACCTATATGTATACATTGTACAAAGAAAAACCTTCCCTAAAGGGCACCTCCAAATAGCGGACAAAATATCAGCAACCAAGAGTGTCCAGTATTTAGAACTTTCACTGTATAAGTTCTAACGAATTGTCTTTATTGAATATTACAATATGATTAATTTTACTAAATATGTGAATATTGCAAAGAGCACATAGTTGAGCAATTAAAATGTTTTTCAGGAAATGCGAGCTATGCATATCAAAGGAGAAAGAGCAAAACGTGAATTGGCTGAATTGGAAAATAAGGAAAAGTATGCTGTAAGGAAGTTGATGGAGGCAACATTACAAAAGAAAAAGGAGAATGAGGGTAAATTTTTTAAATACTTTGATAGCCTGTTTTTTTGTTGAGATAATTTCAAGAACTACTTACAGGTAGACGTATTCTTTTTTGAACGATCAAAATTATTAACTAATAACTGATATATATATATAAGTAAATAAGTAAATGTATAAGATTAATATATTTCAATATACAATAAGACATATCTGTAAAATACATTTAGTTTTGTATAATAAATCGTTATGATTGTCTGTTTATGAATATATAAAAATATAATGAATTAGGCGCCAATACATTTGGCCCACGCTTCGGTACAGTTAAATTTGTTGAAGCTATTTGTAGACACTTTTTTTTTCAAGATATTCAATAATCAAGTTTACTTTTTTTGCTAAGATCCTCCACTGTATATAGCTATAAAATATTTAAGTATATTTGGACCTACATACCCACGGGTCACGGTATGTGTACTGGTATATTTTCTCATATTAAACAAATTTAAAACATAGATACCGAACACGCTTAACAGACTATCTTCACCAACGAACTTTTTACACTTTTAAACATAACTTTATTATAAACTGTATTTTTTAATTTGTTATTTATTCATTAAAAATGTTTAAAATAAGGATTAAAATTTTTTATCTTTGTGCTGCCCACACGTAACCTTTTTAATTTTTGAATGTGACCCGAGAGTCTAAAAAGGTTGCCAATCATACTAGCTGTGATAGTGTATTAAAGTATTTGTTAAATTTTATATTTATATACATTTATATAATTAAGAATAATTTAATAAAAGTGTATGCATGTTTATTATTAAGCGATGTTAAAAGCGGCTCAAGAAAGCTTGGATTGCTTGATACAAAAACTTAACGAGCGTAAGGCTAAAAGTGAAATTTTGATGAAGAAAATCAATCAAAAACGCAGTAACTCGCTCATGGTAGACATGCAGGATAGAGAAGCAGCTCAGTAAGTTAAAGATTAGTAATAAGTGATTATATTGATATGTCTAAATATATTATTATTTATTAAAATATACCATATACCTGCGCATCGTTTCTATCGTTTTATAGAAATATTATGTGATCAAAACTATAACTATTGTCTTAAGCTAAAATACTAATTATGTATTTATGGAAGTATGAAATTAAATTTTCTCAAAAGAGTATTTTTTTTATTAGAAATCATGCTGAGATCACCAAGCGAATGATGGAAAAGATACAAGAGCAAACTGAAATTGTAGAAGTAAAGACCTATAGAATTTATTGTTATAATATATTTTACTAAATTGTATACTTCCTGTTATAGAAGCAAACTATCATACTGAAACGTTCACATGGATCCAAAGAATCGTCCAAATACTATCGTTCTAAGATCAATAATTTGAAAGCAGAGATTGCGGATAAGCAAAATGAACTGGATTATGTGTTGAATGTATACACCGGATTAGGCAAAGCGTAAGAAACAATATTATTCATTCCAAAGATACAATTATTTAGTCATTTTAAATATATAAATACAGATTTGAAAATAAAATTCCAATAGGTATTCGATTTAGACTGCTATGATATAATATATATATATATATAATACGTATATGTAATAGTACTTAATATTATAACATAATAACCTACCTAATAGATACCCTAAAGTCTAACTTACATGCAACTATTAAATTGTGCATTCGAGATAAATATAAATAAAAAATAGACTTTCTAATAAAAACTTTTAGGTACTTTTAAATTTTAATATGTGCCAAACAGAAATTACAAATAATACATATGTATAATAAAATAATTTTTTTTTTTTTACATTTGCTTTCATACAAATAATTTAATATAGCCATAGGTATAGAAAATTATATTAATAACTACATTTTTTGAATGCACATTCATTTCACTTTTATTGAAACATCGTCTTTATTTGATTACCCACCTTAATCTCCTTAAGTACCTAAACAGTAAACACTATAAACATAACCTATCTATTAAGTTTTCTGTGAGTGTAATCTTGTCATTTTGAATAATTGAACAACTAAAACTAAATTCATATCAATTATTAAACTTCTTGAATTAACTTAACTATTTTTTTTTAAATTCTTTTATCTAATTTACAAAATGTCATATATTTTAATTATTTACATTATTAGTTGCCAAGAGATGCATCAGAAGAACGTCAATAAGTCATCGGAATGCAAGGAAATGGAAGAGAATGCTACTGCAATGCAGTCCAGCGTTGATTCATTGGGCGACGACATACAAAAGTTGACTTCTGAATGAATTTTTTTCATTAATGAAAGAAACAACCTTCTTTTTCAAATATGTTTATGTTTTTTTTTCATATAAACTTGTACGGTAGTTCCCCTTTTTTATTTAAAATTATTCTTTAGGTACTATTTAAAAACCATGTGTGTTTGAAAGTGTGCTCGTGTGTGATGTAATCGAATATCCCTTCATAATACTACCTATATAATACTTTCCTATACTTTTTCTCAATGGTGGATTTTAATCAAATCCCGGAACTACCTACCTACCTATCAAATACATCGTGTTACTTGAATATAAAAATAAACTGTCATTCACTAATGTGCTGTTTGTAACATGTTAATAATTATCTTTAAACATTTACCTATAAACCGTCAATGTTGTAAAATACCTATTTGAGTAAAAATATTTTAAATACTTTCTATCAACAAATATACCTATTTTAGTAGTGAGCACATTTAATATAAGGTTCATCGTTCATCCCAAACAGCTTCTTTCGAAAAAGATTTCACCTAAATTCACCCAATGCACGATTTTTATATTTATATTTTTTTTTCTACTTTAACACTAAAATTTAAAAAAACACTAACAAATTTTATAATATCATATATTTTTTAATTTTTAATTCACAATATCAAAGAGGTATATGAATTTGTATTTAATTTTTATAATTTGCATAGAATAGGTTTACATTATATCTATACCTATAAAATGTATACATATTAAAAATATACCAACACATTTTTAACCACACCTCTTATAAGAAAGTCCTAGATTTGCATTAAGTGGGAAGGAATTTGTGTTGTAAAAAACTGGAGCCGTTTGCCGTTTGAGAATTGATATTTTAGTAAAACTGGAGCTGTTTGCAAGTGCCCATGAATAATATTTTTAAATTGCAACAAAATAACTAAAATCATTATTCTTCGTTTAGATACCTAATTTTGTCAAAATTTGAACTTCAAATATCTCTAAAAAAATTGTGTTCATATATTTTTTAGATTTTTGGTTACAATATGAATTACTTGTGAGAAACTTAGTTTTAATTTTTCAAACTTTAGCTATAATAAATAATAATTGAATATTTTTAACTACAAAATAATTTGTGAATTTTCGAGATTTTCTAGATTTTGATGAATTTGTCAAAATTTGAACTTTAAATGTTTATAAAAAAACTGTGTCTATGAATCTTTAATATTTTTAACTGGAATTATTAAAAATATGATGAATTTCGCATTCAATTTTCAGATCTCAGATATAAATATACATTTTTTTATGAATTTTTGACTCAAAATAATTTACAAATGTTAGTAATTTGGGTGAGTTTTGTCGACTTCAAAAGCTCATAAAAAGTTATTGTGAATTAAAGCTCAATTTTTTTTATAATCCCATTAAAACAACTTATAAGGAATCTTGGGTTAAATTTTCAAGTTTTTTTGCTGCAAAAAATCTGTGTTAATATAATTTGATAAAAAAATAGTATTTAAAATGATTCTTAAATACTTTTTAATGTATTTTTTACTACACTGTAAATCAAATCAATTTACGTATTAAGTATTTATCATATATATGTACGAGTTTATTGTAGGACTGCCTTCTATAATATGCTAGCTGTATAAACCTATACCTATGCTATTGTATGCCATAGCCCATAGGTAATAGGTATAATTAACTATTAATTTTTAATTATTTTTTTTTCTTATCAACTTATACCTAAATGGCTAAATTCTTATTATGTTGTATTTAAAACAAAAACATTATTTGTATTCAAACAGATGAATTACATAGTAAATGTTTTATATTTTTTATAATAACCTTAAAGTAGTTATAACCAGGGGCCCTGAATTTAATTCATTAAAAAACCTTATAAATGCAATATATTATCATAATATGATATTATTCAATAAAAAAAGCACTGTAAGTAATACGTTTAATGTTTAGGAATTATTATTTGACAAATATAAAAATGTATAAAGTAAAAAGTATTTGAAATTAAAGGTATTATTAATTGAGTACGGCGTGTACTAAAAGTGTAAAATATATTTTAAAAGAGAAATTAAAAAATAATCCATAAAATGTATGTATTAATAGTTTAACTAACGGAAATCATTGACAATTGGCTAAAAGTAACCTAATAAATCAAAAATTATAAAATTAAATTCATTGGAACCGATGTTCAAAATGTGTGTTAAGAAACATGGGCGTCCCCAGACATTTTTCTAGGGGGGGGCAAAATTAATTAAAAAAATAAATGAAAATTTTTCTATACATTTTATTTATAGTAAATTATTATATTTCGTCATTATTAAAATTATGAATTAAAACATTACAATTAGGTAGGTATTATTATTACAATTAAAACATAAAAAAATATTATTACCTATACATCATTCTTTTTCATTAAATATAAATTTCAATCTCCGTGGACATTCTCTACCAAATTGTGTCAGTGCATTTTCAATAAATTTTTCTTTATTTGAATTTACTTTTTCTTTATGAACACTCAACATGCATATTCCATTCAGTCTATCATCGCCCATCGTTGATCGTAACCATGTTTTAACAAGCCTTAATGTACTAAAATAACGTTCTGCTGTACAGCTTGTAGCCGGAAAAGACAAAAATATTTTCAAAGCAACAGCTTTATTTGGAAAAAACGTACAGTTACGATTTAACAAATTGATAAAATCAATATCTTGGCAGTCCTTATTTTGCCAAAAACAGTACCTACCAACTTTCCACTTCAGCTTGGAGATTATCAATTTTATAGAAATCAGCAATTTTTTCAATGCTTTCAAAATACATTTTTTTCTCCAATTTCTTAAAAATGTTGGGGTGAAGATATTGTAGTAAAAATGCATTATCATTTTTTTTATCAAAACGTTCTTTTATAGATTGTAAAATTGAATCAATATATGGTATAAAAATTGAAACTCCGGTAATAATCTTCACAACTCTCAGTTTCATGGTTCGCTCTTAGTGACTGTTTATCATTTGGAATTTTACCAATTTCTGTGGAAATAACATTATTCCAGGGGGGGTAAGTGCCCCGTCTCGCCCCCCCTGGGGACGCCCATGTTAAGAAAGCTATGTATTACGTATAATAAACCAAAGGTAATGTATTTTTTTATATTTTTCTATCTTTCTATAACTTATAGGACGTAGTCACCGATTGAATTATTAATTGTAAAATATAAAATCTACACAAAATTACCTATATTGGCATATTGCAATTAAACATAATATATTTTATTAGTACCTATAGGTACCTAAACAAAAACTAATCAATAAATAATGCATAGGAATACATTCACATATAATATTGTAATATATAGTTATTATTTCCCTTTTATAACATGGGGAGGTGTGTTGTTGTATGTACCTAGAGGTTATAGTCTTATTTTAGTTTTAAACCTGCGGAATGCCTTCTGCGCTTGGAAACATTTCTTCTGCGCGATAAATGAGCGGAACGAATTCTGCTGGTCCATAGTACCTGCTTACAGAATAGTATTCATGAAACGGCGGCCGCACTAGCCGCGGCATGCCGAACACCGTTTCAGTCTTCTGCTTGAGTATTTTAGCGTCCAAAAATTTTTTCGTCCATTTCGCAACGTCGTCGCTCCGTGAATAGTTCTGTTCACGCGGCGGTTGATCAGTGTCCGTCACCTCGGTTTGTGTGTCACTGACGGTGTGCGAGTCGTCGACTTTTGTGTTTAGGTCCATAATAATTTTCATATTTTGTGGTTTCCATGGTACTTTAGTAAGTTTTCGACCATTTGTAGGCACCTACCTGGCTACCTATCTGCTGGCTACAAGCCTACAACTATCCACTATACTGCAGCATTAGACGACTGACAAGCGTCGAGCACATCTGCGCAATAATGAACATAAGTATCATGACTCATAGGCTCATTTTGGGTTAAATGTGGGTGATAAATTTATGTCGACTAAAATGGCCCCTGGCATTTTCATTCATAGGCCATTGCTAACTTTTTAAAGCCCATGCAAAACTATATCTATTTTTTTATTAAAACTATCTTATCGACTAACAAAAATAAAGGTGCCGACCATTTAAACTTCTTTGATTTGGTAAAAAAGTTTAGCTCGCATAGGTCAGGGCATAATATATTCAACATCTTTAATGCTCCCGTCATGAATTTGCTAAAATTGAAAAGTGCTCCGATCAGTCAATGCAAAGTAGGTAGGTACCTAATATACTAATATATTGTTTAGATATGCCTTCAAAGTTCAAACATTACATTACATTTTTTTATCGGATCATTGGAAGTACTAATAACTTTGTCAGGCGTATAGCTATTTCAAATCCATAAATTGATTTTGAATATTTTGATCTAATTACCACATGAAATGTGCATGAGATTGTGTAACATGTATGATACAGAGCAGGACTGGGCAGGCGGGTACCGGGAGTTTCCCGGTGGGCCGCTTGTACTCGTAGGAACGTAATTTTTTTAGGTTTAAGGCTCATCCTGTTGACCGACATAGACTCATTTTCTAATGAGATTATATTTGAAAACTGTCCAGTGGCGGCTCGTGACTGTTAGACATGGTCGGACAACCCAGTCCAGCCCTGGTATGATATGTGGATAATTGGTGGGAAGTATATAAACAATAATGATCATTTAGGTACTACATACACACAAAGACGAGCAGTGAGAGTGAGGAACAAAATAATAGCCTATACACAATTCCTTAAAAATAAACAATTACCTATAATAGAATAATATACTCATTACTGTTATTATTATTATGAAAATGATGTCTTAGTAATACATTTATCACAATGCTTATGTAATATTATAACCACGATTAAAGATAGTATGGTTGCTACTCTATCTTTAATCGTGATTATAACCAATAACAATTTAATGATGCTATTAAAAATTTGGGGCTACTAAGCACCTAAGTCTTAGGCTAGGCCAAGGCTGGGCATTAACGAGTTAAAAATTAAAATTTAGTTATAACGTTAAATTAATATTAACTAAGTTAAGTAACTCATTACTTTTTTTGAAACTAAACTTTAACTCAATAGTTAAATTTTTAACTTATTTAAAGTATTAACTTCAAGTTAATTTTATACAGATTTCTTAAAATTAAGTTACATTTCAAATTTAATATAACCCATTGATTTATAACTTTGTTGGCTTGAGAAATATTAGATATCATAGAAAATAAATGGGAAAATGTATAATTAATAAATTATTATTATTACCGGTTAAGTATGATATATATATACAAGTATTTTCAATTTTGTAGATAGTCTGTATTCAGTATAATACCCATTCGCATGTAATAATAATTAATTGTTATAAATTTGTGATTTTTGATGTACATATAATATACATTTTAGTGATAGGTACCTACACCAGTCATCTGGGCCGGTGTGAGAGTAATGCAACCCATGCGTTCCTCTAATAATAAGTATATTTTAAAATAAAATTGAAAATCTATTGAAAAATGTAATTTAAATTATGTTCAATTAGTAAGAACAATAAGAAACCACTGTTTTAATTATGACAGAATATATATAAAATAATTATCTTAATTTTGGCTTCTTATTCATCAATGACCTCATACTTCAGTTACCTAGGTATATTTTCAAAAATGTTTTACCTTTTTATTATTATACTAACATACCTATACCTACTACTTTTAATACTAATATATTTCATAACACATACTTAATAGAATAACTGATAAGTATAAAAAAAAACCAGCTCTGGATAAGCAAGTTATGGGCGTATGAAGTCAAGTCTTAGGATTTTAACCAGCTCTAAAAAAGTTAACAGCCCATTTTTCAATAAAACATATAAATATTATTAGTCATATATTTTACGAGCACCACCAAGTTCAACTTGGTAACTCACCGGCCATATCTGAGCCTGAAAGACATCAACTTAATGCTGGGCATAGAGGGGCAGAGTGCCATATACCCCATGCCAGCCCAGATAGATACACTGAGACGCTAAATATGTTGTGTACACTGTTCAATAATTATAGGTATTGGGGAAACTACATTATTCAAGTTTCAAGTAGGTAGTAGGTACATAATAAATAGGTCTCAGAAGTTGTAAGAGTTGCATATTATGTTTTATATGATTTATAGCAGACAAATCTAGAAAAAAATTTATTCTGGACAAAAATAAGTTGAAACACAAGTATCCATTATTTTAAATGCAAGTTTTTGATTATTTTGTCAATTTTAGAAAAATTGTGCATAATATAAGTACTTATTACTTAATGTCTTAATTTTTAATAATTTCTAAAAAGTAAAAATTCAAATTTTTCTTTTATTATCTATAAATATATATTATACATTTAGATACCCAATCATTTAACTAAGAGCTTTATTTTTATAAAGATTTATCCAAGCTAGCAAAAACTCATTTTGTTTGTTTTTATAATGCCATACTTATTTAGTAGAAGTAATTATTTTCATTTTTTTTTAATATTTAAAATTTTGATGTGAATATTTTATTGATTTTAACTTCTATAACATCTGAATCTTAGTAACATAGGTGTAAATAAGGGAGGTAAGCTGAGGGGTTAGCCTCCTACCATAAAAAAATGAATGACTTCGCTAAATTGCTACGTTGGAGTATCCAGGATCTTCAGCTCTCAAATATCGAACATTATTTGCGCCTATATTTAGAAATACAGTCACAATCATAACCGTAACTTTTAAGATTTTGAGATAAGTAGTGCTATCATTATAGTCAATGGATTATTAAGTTAACATGCTAATTATAACTATACAAATGTGAGTAGTGGGTAAGAAGAATTAAGTACCGAGTACCTAATGTTCCCAAAATAATATAGGTATTACATTTATATACACATATTAAAATGTATACAGTTTATACAATTATAGGTCCCTGTGTTTCAATAGATTTACCTTTTCTTTTTATATTTTTCATGCTACTGCAAACTTCTTAGGTAGCTAACAAACCACTTAGGTTAATAACAAATACTTATATGGGTCCTCATTATTTAGTTCAAAAATCTTTTTTTACATTTTTCTTCTCTTTAATTGTTGTATACACTTGAGTATATTTGTACTTATTTGTACTTATATAATTTACTATCAATACATAGTATTTTAAAAAATACCTAAGCTATTAAATAAATAAACAAAAAAGGATAGCAAATAACAAATACTTACATTATCAACATTACAAAATGCTCGACTAAAAAACTGTGGTGTTATTATTTAAAAATTGTATTGAGAATAAATGGAATAGGTTGATATTTTTTCTATTCTTATAAAAATCAATCACAATATTATATATTCAAGATTTCTAACTAAATGTGTTGTATTTTACAGATCTGTAACAGCCACTAGCGGAGCATGGCATTAATATTTCTGGTACAGAGTTTTATTTCTAGAATGCTGATGATTTCAAATACCTAGTCATTAACTTTAAGACTTTTATACACTATAATTCGTGAACTCAGGGCCCGGATTTTCATGCACTAATCAACAATAAAATATGTGCACGAATATGCAATTACTTTTTAAATGAGAACAAACTTAAAACAATCATAATCATTCAAAAAGTGTTAAAATATGCAAAAATACATTATATTATGTATTATCTGCAATTATTATAGAAATATCATATTTTTAATTTAACATTAAATATAAGTATAGATATTAAAAAAATAATTACTAAATCTATAGTATGATTTAAAATATAGAAGCATATTGGGGTGCTTGAAGGCTCTTTATTTTTAAGCTGGATTTCTTTAATACTATTTTTTAAATAACTAGTATATAATAGTAATTAGTAAATATTAACAAAATAATATGAATGAATATGTATAAAATATTTAATTATGCAGAATCATGAAATTTGATCAAATATGCAATTTATGTATACATTTTGGTACTTGGATATCTATATATCTTGTTTCTAAATCAGATGTTTATTTACAAATTGGATGATAAAAATATAAAATTATAATAAAAAAAAAAGGCTATAGTTTAATAGCCAATTAATAATATAATATTAATAATATTATATTTATAATCAATGAGAAAAGTAAATGTTATAAAACTAATTATTTACAAACAATAAGGGTAGAAAAAAATTTAACGATGGTTTAGAGATAAGAGTTTAAATGTTTTTTAAAATTCCTCTAGTAGCTTAGTAAGAAATCAGTAGAATATGATAGCCATAATATTATACAAAAAATAAATACGTACAACAATTTTTTTTTATTTCATAGCAAAAATTAATAGTAATAACTAATTTTTGAATGGTTAAAATTAATAAGATTCAACAATTAATAACTAAAATCATTATTGGTAATCATTTAATCGTAAGAGGATGTCACACCCATATGCGTTGTCTCAGTCTTACAAGATGACAACATAAACCATTTGCGTCCAACCAATTTTGTGTATTACTTTAATATAAAAGTGAATTGACATTTTAACAAACTTATAGGTAAAAACATAATTTGTGTTTGTACATATTACAATATTTCAATTTTTAAGTTAGTTTTTAGTATGTAAAATATTTCAATTCAAAATGATCCTAACTTGCTAAAAAAACTTATGAATTGAACAAAAACATTGAATTTTTTTACGTTTAAGTTTAATAATAAAAAATGTACTCTAGTACTTAAGTTAAAATTGGTTTTGATAGACACAATTTCGCTGTTGCACATTTTTAAGATGGAGACGACAGAAGTGGTATGAATTCCTCTTAATTGTAGTATACAAAAGTATACTTATAACAATTTCAACAAATCTATCTAACAACAAGGTCATTTTAGCCAACTATTTTATGCCATAATAATTTCATAGGTAATAAGTTATTTCGTTCTTGAAGTTTTTTATCAAATACATTGAAATCGGCTTTACGAAGCTTTTCCAAATATAAATGAAGTGGAACAAATGGTAAGCATATTGATTTAATGCGTTTATTTCCTTTCTTCTCCAAATTTTTGGCCTAAAATTTTTTTTTTATACAAATTATAACATGTTCATTGTTATTAAAACTTTTTTTAAGTTACCTTTATAAGATGACTATTAGCTCTCGAAGCCAATTCATAAATTGCATCGCGCACATTCTGTTCACTCGAATTTCTTATAATATTTTCATAGGAAACTTTATATTTTAGCAAAATGTCTTGAGGTATTGATACACGCCCAGATTTTGTATTATAAGGAATACCTCTGATAATGTTTATAATTCCTTGACATTTACCTAGATGACTTACAGCATGATCAACTTTCATATCCTTAATCCCTGTAATAATATCCAAGTATATTTCTGATTAAATGTGTACCTAATAATAAAATAATTTCATTGTATTAATTGTAATATACTAATTTAGTTTTGTATACTAAAATATAAGTATAATATTTTGCAAAAATTACAAATAATAAAATCAACACTTTAAAATTATAAATTATACATGTATTATTGTTATTTAATTTAATTTTTATTGGTTGTAACATTTTTCATAATGTTAGTTAGTTAATAATTTATATCACACAAATAGGAAACCACACCACCCATAATTTTGTACAGATTGTTGTATGTCGTAGTATTTTATTTTTTTGATAACTCTCAATCCTAATTATTCCTTCAAATAGATTTTATTCATTTGTTTATTGAAAATGATTATTATTTGTGTCATTATTATTGTTATCAAAAAAATAAAAACACTATCAAAAAAATAAAAACACTACGACAGAGTAAAGTTCTCTTTTATCTAGTGTGAAAATTTAGTAAATTTACTGTAAATAATGTACTCATAAGTTTTTTATTTTATAATCACATTATTATGCAAATAGAATTGGTACTGACATGGACCACTTTAAAAATATTTAGAATCAGTATTTAAATATATTTAAGATTAAAGATTTTAATTATTTATTTATGAAACATCATTAAAATTGACTATTTTAACACCTTAAATAGTGGGTGTAACTTATTAAGTTATTTTGTTATCTATTACCAGTGTCAATGTTACTTAAAAACACAGTATTCAATCATTCAAACACATTAACTCTGTACAGCTATATTAAAAAAGTATAACATAGCCATGAGCTGACTAAAAAATTGAAGTTAAGGCTCCAATTGGTTAACACTAAAAGATAATACAATAATAATTCATTCTTATTAGTTATATTAACTAGGTACCTATTAAGTAACATTGATTTAATAATATTATTTTTATTTTTAAGTTAGAATGTCACATTATTTTTTTATGATCGTTTATAATGTGATAAAATCAAAATTTAGTAGTATTATTGTATTGTAAATAAAAATATTATTATTTATTTAAATTTAAATACATTTTTGTTTTTTGCCTATTTGTTTATAATATATTATTTAATTCAAATGTTGTTACAGAAATGTGTTACTTTCTAAGTACTGCCCAACACTACTCATTAGGGAAAATCAAAAAAATCAAAATGTATAAAATATTTATTACACGTAGCATACAAAATACAAAAAAAATACGAACCCATTGCTTCTAGGAACAAATAATATACCGGTGAAACTGAGTTTTCAGCATAAGTCTCCAAATCTTCAATGGTTTTCAGAGATGAATTTAACATAAAATGTTCTCGAGATGAGATTAAACGTTTCAAATATATTATACTTAATTTTTGTGTTTTTGTTGCCTGTAACAATTAAATTAAATTAATTTTATTGTTATATAAATAAATAGTTCATTAAGCACTTACCGTATAAAGTTCAATGAGTACAGGATGTTTTGGAATTTTATTTTTATATATCTCAGTCAAAGATGACTCCCAAAATTTAAACCGCATTTCTCCGATTTTCATATCACTTATTTGATCTTGAAGAGTTGCTACTTCAATATTAAATGCTCTAACAGCAAAACCGGTTCTTCTAATATTTTTATGTAATAATAAAGTGCATAAATAATTTTCAAAATCATGTTTTCTGTAAAAACAGTTGAATATTTTTTTAATATAATGTTAACTTAATTAGTTTTTGCAATATTTCACACATACATCATAGGGAAACCACTTTTTGCATTTATCATTTAGAAGTCAAGTGTTCAAATCAGGATTGCATGACCTATTACAATATATACTGACTGATAATTTATTGACCTTTTATATATTTTTTTAAATAGTTATAAGTTGTGACACATTGAAATTAATAATATTTAAATAATATTTCAATTAATCAGATAGGACACCACATTAACGAGGTTTTTAACTAATATTCTAATATGTTATGGCTAACTAGTTATAGTAGTTTGGTTACAAAATAATGAATACAAAGAATAGTTTTGATAAAGTAGTCAAGACGATGTTGGCACAATATTTGTTTTCTCTCTTTTAGAGTTGGTCTGAGTTACGTTACAGATTTCCAAGAACATTAGCCGCATACCAACAGCCTTAAGAGGATGTTAGTCTAATATTTATTTTTGCTCTCAGACTTATTGAACATTAAATATGTTGTGCACATAGATAAAACGCTTTCACCTAAATTCGTTTTTATGATTATTTAGTAACCTTAGAACAAAACCACCCATTACAAAAATCATAGAGGTTTATATTTATGAAGGTATGGACATACCACTTTAATATTTTTTTATTATTTAACTTTGAATTCGATTTTCAAAATAAAAAATATTCTTTGTAAATTTAAATAATGTTTAAAATTGTTTTGAGGCAATTTTAAGACAAATCAATACGTCATACCCTCAAGAATATTATTCTCTATAATTTTTGTAATGAGTGATTTTTATCTAAGTTTGCTCAAAAACATACAATTAATGATTCTGCGTAAATATGTTTAGTCTATGATGCGAGTGGGTCAGAGTGAGAAAACCAACAGTACACTGACATTAACTTAAAGTTTGTATTTGTTCAACAGAGATAGTAATTGTTTAGCTAGCATCATCTAGGAAAGGTTATCAACATTTTGTAAATAATTATTTAAAATATAAATCATTTAATAACATATAGATAAAATGTTACCAAATAAATTGTATTAACAACTACACGTCTTCAAAGACTGTTCATGTAATCTTATAGTATTCAATTCATTATTGGTAATAAACATCTAACAGTAATTATATTTTTGTAAATACGATTAATATATTTTTAATTTAATTTATATTTTTCAGAGTACGAGAAAAGTTTATAAAGATTTAAAGTCAACATATCATTATGCTTTTTAGATTAAGAAATATTAATGTCATAACAATTTATAACTATTACCCAATAAAACAATAAGGATTTTAACATAATCAATTAAATTTAGCAACTTTAATCTTATTACTTATTTAATCTTTTAGAAAAGTTTTTTTTAACTATTAAATTATGTAATTGACTTTCATTATACCTAATATTCAAATAGGATGTTAATATAACATTTAATTCATCAGACTATTTCATAGATACATAATATTTCAATAACATGATTGTTATAGTGCCTATGAAATATATTTCTAACTCACATTTTTTAACAATGTTTTATCTGCATAATATAGAACTTTATACGATACAGCGTAATAAGTATTTTCATAATCCAGATTGCTTAAGAATTTACATAATAGTATAATTTTAGGTATGCCTTAGTTTATGCAAGCAATCATTTTTTATTGCATTTAAATTTAATGTTACAAACAGTTCATCTACAATACTCAACTTTTGTATGTAAGTTTGTACCTGTATGGTATTTATTAAATAATGAGAAGTAAAAGACATTAATTCCAAAAAACGAATGCTAACATGACATAGGTGATATACTCTGTGATATACATAACAGAATTAACAGAAAATTGTTATTTGTAGTAAAATATGCCAGAAAAAAATTCAAAATTGTACTTTAAAAACCAAGATATACAGAATAAACCCTGATAAATTCATTATAAATATGTGTACACATAAAAATATAAAAAATAAAAGTATTATGGAGTAATCTTAAATAGTTGTGTTAAATGGAGTTTGTTTATGAAAGTTACAAATTATAACCATTGATATTAAACATATAGATATGGCATTCTTATATTCACACTTTTTAGCCAACATAAAAGAGAGAAAAATGATGGTCCTCCCTCATGCAGAAGCTTTGGTACCAGTTGTGCTAACCAATATATTTTAATACATTGCATCAATTTATAGGTTTAATATCATTGATTATATTTATAACATAAAATAAAGCAATATTGATATGATACTATAATTTAGACTTGTCCGGTTATTAATTAATTTATGTTAAGCAATATAAATAAATTTAATTGTTTCTATTTAAAAACTTTTAAGTGTCAATACAATTGTATTCAGTTACGAATTAGCACCAAATAACATTTATATGAGTATCATTCAAATAATAACTTACACATTAAATTAATAATGATGTATGTCGATTTAATTTTTTTTAACTAAAAATAAAGTATTGAGCTTATGTTGAGTACAAATATTTACCTAACTAATTCCAAACAATATTTTGCAGTGGAGTTTTTTCGTACGCAACTTATCGTTTGTACAGAGCGGCAAGATAATTCTTTTATACAGTTTCTTACTATCATTTCGTAATTAAATTTATCAAAGTGATCATTGAATATTTGTAATGATTCAAAATTTCAAAATTTTAAAAATTAAAGTGTAATATTTTAAGGCAATTGGAAAAAAATAATGATAAAATCCAAAGAAAAATCATATCAAATTAATATTTCTTATCGTGCGATAAAAGAAGTGATATCAGCACGTGCCCATCAATAATACGCAGTGTAGGCATCCCGAACGCTTATATTAAATTACATATTTTATAAACTTAAAATTAATTAAAAATAAAGATTTTCTTTTGAATAAAATAAATTTTCCATTAAAATAGTGTTTGAACAGTTAATTTTTCACTATGAAATTGTTTTCGGGTAATTATGTATGAAATTTGAACAATGATCCATATGTTTAATGGGAAAAAAATTGTATAGTGGGAATTTTCCCGTTAATCTTTTGTCGTTGGTCAATCATCTTCCCATTGTGCATTCGACAAACGACGAGGGGTTCTGTGACTTGCGAACAAAATTTTTTTTTTCTTCGCACCCGTGTTATTTGAGTTTATCGATTATTTATAGTTTCTAGTTTCCTGTATTCTTGGTGAACGATCGATCACGTTAGTAATCTTATCATGTTGTGTTAGTTATTCAATCGCATTTGTGATGTTGCCCGAAAATGGTTTGTATAGACGAAGTAGTTGCTTACTTCAAAACACTTAAAAGCTACGAACGGCTTTGGATGATGTGTAGACTCCAAAGCCACTGTCTTCCAATTGAATTGAGGTACCTCGGCACTTGTTTAGATAACTTGTCTAAAAGAGATATTCACATATTGAAAAAATTGGAAATCGAAGCCAACGATCCAGCCAACGTTAGTGAAGTAGCTTGCAAGTGTATTTGCGATAAAACTGTTAGGGCAGCAGTTATCAAGTATTTATCTGTTTTAAACACTAATAGTACCAAGTGTTCGGAACTAATTTATAAAGCTCTAACAGACGACAAAGGGTTAGAACGCATATTTAAGTGTCCAAAAGCATTCTTTAACGATAAAAACGCATTTGAAGAGCTTATGGTATTGTACACATTAGCTGTAAATCATCCAGCATTTATATTTGAACAAAAAACTCAACTAGATAGCATATTCAACTGTATTAAGAAAGAAAAAGAGAGGCAATTGTCCAAAAAGAAAGGCGGCGATATAGACAAAGAATCTTCTGATATTTTAGAGGTATGTATGTTTTATTTATTATACACCTGAATAACTTGATAATTTAAGTGCACACACATAATATGCACTTAAACACATGGAAATTTAATAGTTAACTTATTTTATTAGATATTTGAATTTTGACTTGTAAGTGGTATACTTTTACTGTAGTACATAATTGTTGGATTATTGTTAAGATAAGTAGGTAGGTAATAAAAGTTTTATACATTCAAGTTAATGGCTGTAATATACATGTACATATTTTCAGTATAGCCTATATTGAAATAATGTGTATTCACGTATTAACGTGACATGAAAGATTGTATATTTCAATGGTACTCATGTATCGTGCAATCTATTTGTTTTAACATTATTACTTAATATGTATTAAATATAAGAACTGTTTCATTAATTCTAAACATTAATCACTAATTTAATTATTTTAATAACTGGAAAACAAATTAGATACTTATTTTATTTTCCTATTTAAGCTTATTATTTTTATCTTGATTATTTTGAATTTCATATTTACTAACTTGTGTACATTTTATCTAATAGATAATGATGTAGAATATATAATAGGTGCCTTCCTAATATAATTTTTAATAATTTCAAATTTTTTTTTTGTTTTAAATGTACATGTTAAAATTTAAACTAACCCAAAACGTCATAGATATGATGACTTAAAATGGCTTTTTAGAAAAATCATTGAAAATAAATTATCGAAAAATATATTTTTTTTGTTTTTTTTAGTATGTGATTTAATATGGTTTTTAAAAAACATTTTTGATGTAAATAGATAATAAACATGTACCTAATTTATTAATAAGAAATATATTTTATTTGTTACATACCTATTTAGATATCAATATTTTTTGATTGAATAAATCATTGTTTAGAAAAATATACCTTACTATCTTGTTTTTTAATTGTTGTGTTATCTTACACAACAATTAAAAAATTTAACTACCTATTTATTATAAAATTTAAATTATTATTGTTTCTACTTCTATATGTACCTGCTTATTGTTTATGAAGCAATCATACGACCTTGTCATGAAAATTGGACTATTTCTAACACCCTACGATTGGCTAACAATTAAAACTATAATATTGTGGTTATCTTCATTGTCAAAGATCATAATTTTTTTAAGATATTTGTATTTTAATCACGAATAGGTAGCTAAACATATTTATTTCATACAAAACCTTGCTTCAATTATAAACATTAGTTTTTATAATAACCTACTTTAAGTACAAAATCCAAACGTGTATCTATTTTTAATTTAAAAATAAGGTATCTGTGTTTAAATATTTTGAGTCTAGGTAATCTCAGTAATATTTTATTTTGTAATCAATGCTAAGTAAAAAAAAAAACTTCCTAAAAACTTTTAAGGTAATAAGATCATATAATCCTATATTATCCTATTTAGGTCATTAGGTATTTAATAGTTAATATAATTAAATGCCTAGGTAGGTAGGAGTACTTATTATTTTATATTGATTGATAATTATGAAATACCAAGATAATACATTTGTTTTTACTTGTGTATTTATACTTTTTTATAAAATACAAAAAAAAAACAAAATAGTTAACTAATGTATTGTATATTTGCTTGAAATAATTATTTTGTAAAGTCTTATCAACCAATCTTTACCTCTTCCAATAACATAATTATGATAAAACTTGTGATATAATTAATTGAAATTGAAATTGATTAAAATAAAAAAAATACAAAAATACAAATGTCAATTTTAAATTAGGGTTATTTATAGTATTAAGGTCATAAGTTTGGTTTTATTTATTGAGTATAAAGTGTTATTTAGCATTTTTTTCATTTAAGACTCATAATTAAAGTCCGGATTTATATTCTCTTAAAAAATAATATTAAAATTAATAACAAATAAATATTTTTTTTCTTCTCAATTTACAAAATATTCCAAAATATGTTAAATGGGTTAAACATTCCCTAATCCATGAAATATTTTCAAATATGCAATCAAAAATTTTTTCCTATGAACTCAGATTTCAACCTATCGTTTTATTAATTACTTTCATAAGACTGCAATAGATTCAGTGATGATATGTAAAAACATCAAAATCTGGTCTTTACTCATAATCGTAACATACCAGGGTGATAAAAGTTTTTAAATTTTAAAAAGCTCAAGAGATACAACTAAATGATTGTTTATGTTTTTTATTTATTTGAAAATCTTACATTTTTTTCCCATTTATTATTTAGGTATATTTTATTCTTATTACTAGAGCATAGGTTTGCATGCATAAATATATGCACTATAATATTCAAATATGCACTCTACAATTAGCAAAGAAAACATTTTTGAATACTTAATTATAACAATAAATTTAAAATTATGGTACCTATGCTACTAAAAGTACTTTTCTTTGAAATATTTGTGTTTTGTAAGTGGTTTTAATCTATATAAAAAAAAAAGTTCTCATATATATTTGGAAAAACTGTTAATAACTGCGAATGTACCCATTCATTTATTTCAATATTAATCGAGACTATAAAAATATAATATTAATAAAATATTTCAATAGCAACTATTTTAAAAGATGAAATATGCAATTTAAATCGTAAAATAAACCGTACAAAATGTATATATATATATATATATATGTTCATATTAAGTCATACACATATTGTAACTCGTTTTTAAATCGCTCCTTGCTTTAATATTGATGCAGTATTACCTTTTTATGTATAGATAATAGATATATTATGGAAATTATTGTAATTAAAATTTACATTATTTAATTATTTAACTGCTGCAGATTTCTATACATACCTACTGTTTAAATTAAAGTAACTGGAGTTTCTTATTGTACTAACATTTGTTTTTTTTATTATTAAGTTAATTTAAATATTTAAATAATATGATGAATGTTTTTGATTTAGTGTCTTATATACTATTTACAATTTTGTTAATACTGGAAATGAGCACCAGGGTAAGCTGATATTGTTTTCATATGTTTTAGAATATCAACACCATGATTCCACCACCCAACTATATGTATCAGCAAACTCAAGGAGGACCAAATTATCCTCTGAATAGAAATGGCTATTTATATCCACGTCATTGTAAAGACAATATTTATTAAATAATTTAATTTAATTAAAAAAATTTAAATTAAACATATATTTATATTTCAGATTATCCGTTTCCTCCTGTGAATGTTCCACCAATGCAAGTTTGCTATGACTATCCACCACCAGCAGCAGTTTCAGGAATAAGAGGACCCCATCAAGCTAATTTTTCAAAATCTCCAAGTCCAGTTTCATGGCCTCCGCGCACATTCCAAATAAATCCACGTAATCAACCACCAAACATAAACTCAAAGCAAAGGCATCCTACTCCACCAAGATATCGTAATCCTTCAGATCCTAGTTATCCATTTTCTCAAACATGGAACAACTGGAACATGTATCAAATGTCACCACATAATATGTATGCCAATTATAATTATACTCCAGGCATGGTAAGTAATATTATAAATTAAATTTACATAAAAACTTACATTGATAGTAGAATCTTAAAAGTTTCTCTAAACTTATAAAACTGAAATTTTATAAGAAAACTGATACTCAAAGATCAAGGTGGATCTAAGGTTATATGTTATGTTAACCTTACTTTTTTTATTTGTCTTAACATATGTAGATTGGAAATATTTTAATGAATTCATTCCAAACCTTTTTTTTTTTTTTGATACTTTATATCAATATATTATGATTAAAATTATTCTCAACAATTTGTTATCATACATTTTTTTTGGTATTCAGCGGTAATTAAATATTGATAAAATTATCGTTTAAATAAGGTGAATTAACTTATTTTAGGATTTTAATTTGAGTATGGATTTTGAAGCACTGAAACACAGAAAAAAGCATTTTAAAT